GTGGTCAGAGTGGATCCCAAACCTTCTTATTCCCCTCTCAGGGGGGGTGCAGTGTTTGGTGAGGGGCTGTTGCTTTTTGCAATCAACTCAGTGCAATATTCATTGATGTTTCTTTTGTACTAACTCTGTGCAATAATATGTATATATATGCTGTTACCCTGTATATACAGTGGGGGAAATAAGTATTTGAGCCCTTGCTGATTTTGCAGGTTTGCCCACTTACAAAGAATGCAACGATCTATAACTTTAATCATATGTACATTCTAACAGTGAAAGACAGAATCCCAAAGAAAATTCCAGAAAATCACATCATATGAATTTATAAAAATGGATAACCATCTGATGAGGAAAAATAAGCATTCTTTGTAAGTGGGCAAACCTGCAAAATCAGCAAGGGGTCAAATACTTATTTCCCCCACTGTATATCTAGCTCTTAGTTATAGAAAACATATTTATTGTGTAGGAATAAGGTCTTAGCTTTGTCACACTGGTAGCCAAGTAATCGACATTTCGTTGTCGAGATTCGCCTTGTGTTTTTTGTACAATGACAATAAAGGAAGTCGAAGTCTATGGGAGAGCTCCCCCACACATTTGACTTTTCCCTTTATTTTCTCATTGGACGATGGCGCCTTTCCCCCTTTTTGTGAGTTTGTTTACATCAGTTCTAATGGAATAACCGCTTTCTGAGTTGGTGAATGAGCTTTTGGGTGTATTACATCAGAATTGGAGTTCTAACTATATAATAAAAACTTTACTCTGAGACCTTTTGCATTATTATAGGTGTAAAAAATCAGTGGGCAAAGGACTACACTGCTCTGAATTTGGACTGGTGTGAATGGACAATAAACGCACCTTAGTTTAGCTTTGTCTTCAACTCAATTGTTTATTTTTGCAATAACCCAGTGCAATATTCATTGATGTTTCTTTTGTAATAACTCTGTGCAATAATATGTATATATATATGCTTTTACCCTGTATATATCTAGCTCTTAGATATAGAAAACATATTTATTAAGTAGGAATAAGGTCTTAGCTTTGTCACACTGGTAGCCAAGTAATCGACATTTCGTTGTCGAGATTCGCCTGGTGTTTTTTGTACAATGACAATAAAGGAAGTGGAAGTATAAGTGGAAGTGGGGGGCTTCTCTGGGGGCTTTTTTGGGGGCTTCTCTCAGCTCCTTTGGGGGCTCCTACCTGATTTTGTAGTTGGGCAGGGTGTGCTTCTTCTTGATGACCCTCTTGAGCTGGTTGACTATATATATGCTCTTACCCTGTACATATCTAGCTTTTAGATATAGAAAACGTATTTATTAAGTAGGAATACGGTCTTAGCTCTGTCACGCTGGTAGCCAAGTAATCAACATTTAGTTGTCGAGATCCACCTGGTGTTTTTTGTACAATGACAATAAAGGAAGTGGAAGTGGGGGTCTTCTCTCAGCCCCTTTGGGGGCTCATACCTGATTTTGTAGTTGGGCAGGGTGTGCTTCTTCTTGATGACCCTCTTGAGCTGGTTGACTATATATATGCTCTTACCCTGTATATATCTAGCTCTTAGATATAGAAAACATATCTATTAAGTAGGAATAAGGTCTTAGCTCCGTCACACTGGTAGCCAAGTAATCGACATTTCGTTGTCAAGATCTGCTGGTGTTTTTTGTACAATGACAATAAAGGAAGTGGAAGTATAAGTGGAAGTGGGGGGCTTCTCTGGGGGCTTTTTTGGGGGCTTCTCTCAGCCCCTTTGGGGGCTCATACCTGATTTTGTAGTTGGGCAGGGTGTGCTTCTTCTTGATGACCCTCTTGAGCTGGTTGACGATGATGGAGGTGAGCTGGGGCAGGGGCCGGCCCTCGAACTGGGACTTCACCTCGAAGTCCACCAGCGGGTCCTCCAGGAAGGAGAAGGACCAGTGGGAGAAGGGCACCCGCGTGAACTGCAGCCGGAGGCGGCCCACCACCCTCCGCATCTTCACGAACAGGTAGGCCGACTTCCCGAACACCAGCTCCACGTCGATGGCCAGGTGGAAGCCGCCGTTGTACTCCAGCTCCACCTCGAAGTTGAGCTCCTCGGGCATGCCGTCGTCGTCCAGGTGCACGGGCTTCATCAGTTTCGCGCTTTTGAAAACCGGAAGTGAGTTGCCCAGAGAGATGTCGCGGAGGCTGAGACCCTCCAGGAGCCGCCCGGCCGTTTTGGTCTGGAGCAGCTCCTCGAACTCCACCTTTATCTTCTTGGTGAGCCAGTGTCGGACCAGAGGGGTGTCTCTCAGCTCCCGGAACAGAAACAGGAAGATAGCGTTGAGGAAATTGCACGTCTCCGGGTGCTCGCCTAGCAACGGGCTCCCGCCGGTGACAGCGGCTTCCGGGGGCTTCGCGGAGCCGGCCTCCGGCTGCCTGGAGCCGGCAGATAACGGAGAGTCCTGCGGTGTCTGGTTGGCTTCCGCCGGAGGGGTATTAAAGTAATCCTTCAACGCGTTGTCGGGCACTACTTTGACGTACTGAACGGTCCTGCCTACGGGCTCGACGTTCCGCCTGTAGACGAGCAAGAACTGGACTACCAACGTAACCACCGCTCCGCAAAAAGCGGAAAACAGGACCACGTAAAACATTTCAGACGGTTGATATGAACCTGTAAAACTCAAAAGGTTTTCATGGCCCTGCGACGTTTTGGTGGCGTTAACAAAGCAAGTTCCACCTGGTCGCTCTCAAAGCTGCCATATCATCTGCCTCTTCCCTGAGCTCTCGACTGCGCACCTGATTGGACGACAGGTTTTCACGTCCGGGTGCGTGATGACGTAGCCAGACCCTGTTGCGTTCGGGGCAGTTGAGGCGCGTCGGATTTTACAGTCGCCCGGCGAGAAAGCGTCATTTGAGGTTTATTTGGTAGAAACAAAGGGAATAAAAACATACAGAGACTGTTCATCTGGATTTAAAGAGGCTCTCTATTTATATGCAACCCGGTGATGATGTTTTTAACTGTGGCTGACTGCATCTGTCTAGCTTTCACATCTCACAGCCTTTCTGACCAAAGGATGTCCAGGAGGGGCTAACAGTGGAGATGGTCATATTCAATCCTGCACTATTTATTGGTATAAAAAAAAAATACAGATTAGTGACGTAGATTACTCGTTCTTGCCAGTCCTGAATTGGGAAATAGACCAATCTATCAACCCTGGTTAAAACTTCTGCATTCAAATGTCTTAAGATACGGTCAGCGTGCCTCAAATCCAAATCTACAACAGATAGAATACAAAATTCGTCATATTATGCAGGACAGAGGGTCATCTATTTGGGTTTTAAACACTCAAACATTTGTCCTGATGGACTTAAAGTCTTTTTTGGAAGACAACAAAGAAGAGCTTTATCTATTCTACTGGTGATAAAGGCTGAATAAGCACATCCGTGTTGGCCTGAGGGAGGAACTTTTGCACTTTTGTAATGTATATCAGATTTTCTTTAAATGTTTTGAATATGAGATCTAAGATTCAAATTGGAATAAAAGATGACTTTGAGTTTTTTTTCCCCTTCTATTTCCTCTGGGGAGTTAAAACAAAAGTGTCTCAGTTCTTATCTGTGTGCTTCCAGGAGAAGATCTGGCCGTTTCTGCTGATGACGCACGTGGAGATTAAAAAGAACCAAACGGAAAGTTGAACCTTGGGGCAGGCCACGCATCAGCTTGTATCTTTTGGAAGCCCAGTCATTCATCTCTGCTATCAAGATCAGTTCTTTTGTTTGTAAAATGACGTAAAAAACGTTTGACTTTAGCTGCTGTTACATTTAGATTTAAGAGGCAAGTTAGCTAAAAGGTTTGGGGCTTTTAAAAGGGTCATAGTGGTTAAAAGTGATGATATTAGAGGAATTTGGTCATCTTGCCTGTTTTAGTGATTCATTATGTTAGCTTAGTTGCTCTTTAAAGAACTGGTAACAAAGAGTAACTTGGTTATTCCTCTACTTTATTTCTGCGCGTCAGCAGTTTCTTTTTCAATTTCCCTATTTCTTCAGTTTGTCATGTGCTGAATTTTGGTTCTTGTTTCTAAGTGCTGGTGTCATGTTTTAGTCTCTTTGTCTTGTCATTTCCTGTTTTTATTTTTGGAATAGAGACTCTGCCTTTCAGTTTTACGCTCCAAAAATCTGGAATATGGTGGAATCCTTTGTTTTTGCGATCTTGGGATGAAAAATGAAGAGTTTAATTATCTTGGGATCTTGTTCACACTGTACAATAAGAAATAAACTATTATCTCAGCATACAGTAACCAGCACTGTACTGTAGAATGCCTATTTTTCCTCATCAGATGGTTATCAATTTTCATAAATTCATATGATGTGATTTTCTGGAATTTTCTTTGGGATTCTGTCTTTCACTGTTAGAATGTACATATGATTAAAGTTATAGATCGTTGCATTCTTTGTAAGTGGGCAAACCTGCAAAATCAGCAAGGGCTCAAATACTTATTTCCCCCACTGTATCTATCTATCTATCTATCTATCTATCTATCTATCTATCTATCTATCTATCTATCTATCTATCTATCTTT